GCACTTCCTTCCTGGACCCGGGGTTTTAAATTTAGCTGGTGTCATTTACATATTACTCTTAATCAAAAAAAGAAAAAAAGAAACAAAACCTTGCCGTCACGGTTCAGGCAAGGGCGCAAAGGCACTTTATAAAGCGGAGATGTGACAGACGTTCAACTGAATTGTGCGTGTGTGTGAAGGAGAGAGATATGAGGCTGGTGGAGAAAACAACAGTAAGTGGAATTGAGAGAGAGAGACAGAAAGAGAGAGAAGCTGTGCATTGCTTCAGTTATCTCACATCTACCACACAGGGAAAAAAGCCAATATCTCATCAACCTGCTGATATGAATGATGAGTTCTGCTGTTTAAAGCCGATACTACATAGAGACAAAATAGTGGGAGGAACGCTAGATCTGCTTTAGAGTAGATGAGAGCTAAAAAACAACAACTGCATGATGACTATGCTCACATTGAAGCTGTGCCTGTGATCCGTGATTCATTAAATAATATTGTAAAATGTTGCTGAAATAAATTAAATATATATACATATATATATATATATATATATATATATAAATATAAACTACAACCACACACACACACACACATACAGTACATATATATATATATATATATATATACACTAGGGGTGTAACGGTACATGTATTCGTATTGAACCGTTTCGGTACGAGGCTTCCGGTTCGGTACGCATACAAACCGAACGATTCCTTGGACCATTTTTCCTGCGACAAAATCCGCGCTGGCGCGATCACCACAACGTTGCGCAACATCAAATGGCAAACGTAATGAAAGCGGAACGAAACTGCGCTACTCATTATATTGTGCTTCACGGACCGTTTATCAGTTCGGACCAGCAACATCTGTGCAGCAAGAGCCGATCTCGATCAAGCGACACTGTTACTACACAGCGCTAAGAGATCCAGTGAAGAAAACATTTGAATTCGTCACTGAAGTAATAACATCGCTGTTAGATCTAGTGAGAAGCATTCAAATTTCTCAGTTATTAACCGTAGATCTCTATTAGATCAAACAGCGCTGACGTGGAAACCAGGAGAAACATTGTGCCGTGAATGAACTAGTAATATAGCCTGGCATGCCAGACCTACATCAAGATGTTAGGTCTGGGAACTCATCATTGACAGGGCTCAATCTGATGGGCGGGATAAACGGTTGTCTTTCAAATTCTCTCAGCACGCAATTGGATAGCGAGTGCGGCAAAAATGACAAGTTGATCGTTTCGCCACAGCTTTTTTGTAACAGCGCGCGCGGCGCCGCATCCGAGGATGAATGACTTCAAACCGAATATGCCCGAGCTTGCTCTGACCGTCGCAACTCTGCCGTCATTGTGTTAAGCCCGCCCACCAACTCTATACACGATGTGATTGGCCTGACCAGTTTTTGGTTTTTCCAGCTAAAACGTCTATGGAGAGTTGCTAGACCACACTGGCAGCGAAATGATTTTTGCTGCCGCTAGGGTGCGTCTAGATTTCTAGGCTACTAGTAATACTTTACGTCCACAGACCAGCAACATTCACCATGGATTTATGTAGTAACACTAACTGTAACCAGTTTGGCTGGAATAGTGAAATGCTTTCAAGTACTTCACACATCTTTTTCCAGCACTTCAAAACTCAAATAATATATAAATAAATATATATTTAAATGTTATTTTTAATGTGATGACCAAAACATTATTTGTTCATCCTTCAAAGATTACCCCCATTTATAAACCTGAAAGTTTCAAGATGTAGGAAAACTCAGTTATTTAAAAATATTTTTTCTTTTAACAAATAGGAAATTTCTCTGGCATTTCTATCTTTTTGCTGTATCGAAAACGTACCGAACCGTGACTTTAAAACCGAGGTACGTACCAAACCGTGATATTTGTGTACCGTTACACCCCTAATATATACACATACATACTACCATTCAAAAGTTTGGGGGCAGTAAGATTTTTTTTTCAATTATATTTTTATTCAGCAAGGATGCATTAATCAAAAGTTACAGCAAAGACTTGGGCATTGTTATCTGTTAAAACTAACTTTATTGAGGGGACAGCGAGTCAGATTGGTAACCCCAGAGCCGTTGAAAAACAGAGTTGCGACACTCCCATAGACCGCCATAGGAACTTAGGAATGCGGAAGTAACGCGTGTCATGGAGCAGCCAATAGTTCCAAACACTGATAGTTCCAGCATTGAACCCCATTCATTTTCAGTGCTTCCGAAGTACGCTCGCTGGTAAATTAATGAAATTACTGTATTTTTTTACTTTTACACACATTAGCCGACCTCTCGTGAATCTAGTCAGTAGTTATATGTTATGTAGTCAGTTTTAGTAAATGTTTATTGGAAGATAATAGGTTAATTGCAGCGATAGCTTACGTGACCAACACTTACAACACTAACATTAGCTAAATTACGGTAACCTGATGTACATAATATATAATATATAATAATATATATATAATTATATATATAATTGTGTGTATATATATATATATATATATATATATATATATATATATATATATATATACATATATATAAAATTGTATATATAATTATATATATATATATATATATATATAATTATATATACATACACACACACACACAATTCATTTATTTAAATGGGTTAGGGTTATGCATATATGTGTTTGTGTTATAGCCTACATAATATATGCATTCATATATATGTGTGTGTGTGTGTGTGTGTGTGAATGGGTTAGGGTTAGTTATGTGTGATTGAAACATGTGTACTGTACACACAGTACATGATCGTATACATGTATTTGTGTGTGTTTTCTGATGAATGGTTTAGTCTATGATTAGGGTAGGATGAAGGGGTACATTAGCCATACTGAAATGAATCCCGTTAACAGTTATGGATCGTATTTAAGAACATAGTTAATTCACTCATTAACTATCTCTCCGGTTTCATTTTATGAAGTTAATATTAACCGAACATTGCTGTAAATTTAGTCGTTGCTTTCTACGTTATGGGAGCAGTCTATTTCCCTCCTAAATCGTTCATTTGTACATGCACAGCGTAATTATTTATATTTTATGTTGGTTGGAGTTCTGAACGGACTGCAGACCTCTTTGCGTGATCACGAAGGTAGGCTAATGGTTGAATCGGAATTTATAAGCAAGATCACGGGAATCAATAGCCTAATACAGCCCAGTTGTGCTAAAATAAATATCATGAGACGTCCGTCATCAGATGAATGACATGGAAAAGTTAAGTTAGAGCCGCTAAAGCCAGTGCTACTACCCATGCGAACATGAACACTAAGCTTTTCCCTCCAAAAATATAGCCTAAAACTTATCTAAGTTGTCACCCTGCCTCTCTAAATGTAAAACTGACATTAACAAAATGCAATAACAGCTTATAAAGTACTTGGGTTTGTGTTTTATTTTATATTTCCCGTTTAATAATGCAATCGCTGCTGTCTGTCCATAGAAGAACATGACAGCCCGCGTATGTTTTGGAACTATTGGGGCTTACATGAACCACGTGACAGCCGTCGCGGCGACATCAAAGCGTGTCGCAACTCTTTCTCTCAATGGCTCTGGGTAACCCGAAGGTTACAGGTTCGATTCTCAATAACGCCAGGAAATGACTGCTCCCCACTAAACATGGCTGCCCACTGCAGCCATGTTTAGTCGCATCTCGTCGGGTACGTCTCGGCCAAAAAAGCTGCGTTTGAACACAACAAAAGGACTAAAGGTGACTGTCAACTAGCACGTGTGTTCTGCCCCTGCGTGTAAGTAAATATATGTCTATATCAGCAGTCTATTTTCATCATTCAAAAAGGGAAACTGAAAGTAGGACTACAGAAATACAAAGCAGCGCTCGCTAACCATTTTGAATATCAATCACGCTGATCACTTTCTTCATTCCAGGTGGCTCATGTTATTATGAAAATGTTCGTGCATTCAAATGCTCAGGTAAGATGACGTAAAATTATTGCTTTGCTCACTTTCATCACGCTTTTATTCTCTTGCACTGACTCGTTCGCTAAGCTGAACAGCAAATCAGAGTTCTCTCTCTCACCAACGACCCGATGCCAATTCAACATGCTGAATCGGCCCAAAAAACTTCCGACTAGAGCCAACGGCATCCGACTAGAGCCAACGGCATCCGACTAGAGCCAACGGCATCCGACTAGAGCCAACGGTGCGGAAAACACCGAAAAAACTAAGCACAAAAACGGCCCGATATTCCCTGGCGGCCGACCAGCTTGGTTTGTCCCAGTATGTGACACTGAAGACTGAAGTAATAGGGCTGCTGAAAATTCAGCTTTGCTATCACAAGAATAAATAAAAAGCTTATATAAAAATATCAAATAATTATTATATTTATTTCATTTTACAGTATTTTTGATCAAATGATCTTGATAAGCATAAAAAACTACTTATTTTATAAAAATAAATAAAAAAATAAAAAGAATTCTAACCAAACCCCAAACCCAAAAGTAGTCAAAAGTAGTCAAACACAAAAACATAAAATATAAAGTATAAAATAAATATACTTATAAATAAATATATAAATTAAATTAAATTTGGATTTCCAAGATGTTTCCAGTTGTTCGGAAACACAAAATTGGAAATAAAAAAAGTGCAATATTTAAAAAAGCTTTCTATGGGAACGATGCATATTTAAATACAGATTTCGACACAATTTCCCTCATAATAATACAGAATTCCACACAATTTCCCTCCTAATAATACAGAATTCCACACAATTTCCCTCCTAATAATACAGAATTCCACACAATTTCCCTCATAATAATAATTAAAATGTGACAAAAATGTGCTGATTCCATGGAAGTTGGGTGTTTGGGATAATTACTAATTCCTCAGAAGACCATTTAGATTCATGCTATGCAACCACAGTGCATAACAATAAGCATGTTATTTTTTGTGTGTTCATGCAGTGGATGGTATAGGGCCACTGTCAAACACATCCATAGAGAGGTATCAGAAACGGTCCCTACCTTACTCTTACCTTCTCAGCATGCCGGTCAGGATCCGAGAGCTCTTGCCCAAGTTAGCGTCCGTCTCTCTCAGCTGGGAGAAGAAGAGAGAGAAAAAGAGACAATGTCCATGTTAGAGAGGTCATGTTACATTTGTGCTATAAAAATAGGCTTGAGCCCTATTTGGACGGTAATAGTTTCTCATGGGGACGTCCAAAAAAAAAAATTTGCATGGCACCTCAGTGATTAAACTCATGCATTAGGATGGCGATAAATTCACGTTGGAGGAGCGAGTTTTGGGATTCTACAAACCCGGGAAAGCCCTGCTCACGTGGTCAGTCGCATGATTGTCTGCTGTAAATAAAATGTTGTATGCTTGGAATAATAAGAATAAATACATATTTCATTTAATAATAGGAAAATAATATCCTATTTATTATTTAATTATTTAAATCTCCTGTTTAAAAATGGGAAGATAGACGCGCTATATTTAAAATGGTTTTCTGTTGTATTTTACCTCAAATTGATGGATGTCGTTTTAAAAATGTGGAAATTAGCAGAAATAATTTAATTATTAAATGGTGTATAACATTGTATCTAAAGTGTCTAAGAAAATCTGTGAATGAAATCCGTTCTGCATGGTCCTCTTGTTTGTTAACATTATTATTATTAAGTCTAAATCAGGCCTGCATTGGTTTGAAATTGCTGCTATTTACATCTGAGTGAGTGGAGCTTGCTGTTATGAAGGGGCAAGATATGACCCGAACACGCGCTAAGCGGTGTCAATCAAAGCACACTGGACCAATCATAGCACACTGGGCCAGCTAACCAATCACAGCACATTTCGTATTTCGGAAGGAGGGGCTTCATCGAAACAGCGCATTCGCCCAGACTGGGGAGAGAGGAGCTGTAATAATGTAACACTACGTTAAAAATAATGCGTTTTTTTGCATGAAAACATATTTGAGTACACCCCAAAAACAAAACCAAGACTTTGTAAAAGGTCATAATAGACCCCTTTAATACAGCCACTTATTTACATGAGGTAAACATAAAGCTGCTTGGTTTATATTTTTATGTATATAATTAGTGCCATAACAAACGTTTATGGCATTTTAAATGTTTACATGCTTGTCATCTCTTTCTTCTTTGAGCAGCGATGAAACATCGTTCTTGTAAATAATTTCCAGCATTTAAGGAATAAAATGATAGGCTACATCTTTCAAATGCATCCAAATTACAGCGAAGCGCAACTGTACAGTGCTCGGCAGTGGTCAAAAAGGATTTAAACAGAGAACTTTTAACTGATCTCTTCTTGTAAACTCAGTGATGTGGATTCGGACGGCAATTAAATTACCACACAACCTTGGTGTTTGTCAAAAAACAATAAGTAATTCAGCCATGGATTTTTACGTGGGTGGTGGGAGAAAAACACTGACATTCTGGATTCGGGCAGCAATAAAATCACTGACTAACCCCTGTTAATGTTGAAAGGAACTTACAACCCCATGAGTAACAACTACCGTCCAAATAGGGCTTTAGAATGTATACTTTAGTGAGAGAAGCTACTAAAATTAACTTTCATTCAACTTTATTTCCTGTTTGTTGCAACACTTCCTTTCTCTTTTAAATGTGTATATGTTTAATATTCAATATACGGCTCATTTAGCGGGACGCATAAGTAAAAGCCATACATCTGGAGATGTGTATGTGTTCAGGAATGCTGACATTGCTATGGAAGTAAAACCAAAGTTCTGGCAGCCGTCAGATACGTGACTCTGGCTGGCCTCCTTGAGAAAGCCTCCTTCTCTGTCCTCACAGTCAGCGGGGACATCTGTATGTGTATGTGTGCGTGTGTGTATGTTAGCGGGCAGGCTCAGGGACAGATGTGGTTTTAGGCGTGTTTGGGTTCTGGCATCACCAACAGCCCAAGAGCTGCCTGATGTCTCTCTCAACGATGGATGTGTCCCATGGGAGCTCCCTTGGCTTTTCCCAAAATCCCTCTGTTTCACTCTCTGGTCAAAGTTGTGACAGCACGAAAACACACGGTGGAGCTCTCCGTGAATAAGGAAACCCAGAACAAGACCCACAACAAAAGAGATTACCAGTACAGCAGACCTAAAGCAGAGTCCGATTACAGACTAGCAAATGGTCTTGGTAAGATGATTCCCAGTAGCTTGATTCAATGCCTGAATTTCACTGAATAGAGTTAAAAGAGTCACAGTCACGCAGGCCTAAACCTAAATAAAGAAAAATACCACAAACAACTATTGTAGCATAACCAGAAACAGGAATATTGGCCATACATCAAGACATTTTAAAAACCAACATTTTACATGAGATGAAATTTGGTCAATCAAGACTCTCATAATCGTTTAATCTTTGTGACTTCTAATAATATTTTTATGATTCCCGTTCATACGAATAACACATTTTGGTCTGTTTTAAAATGTCTTGTCAAAGTCTACCAAACCAGGGAGAAAATGCAACATTGTAATGATGTAATCCATGTCTCGGAGTAAAGAATACGGACAACGAAACCTGAAAACAACCTGAAGTATTGTAAGTGGCAGTTATTTGACTACACAAGAAATTTTCCTTGGCGACATTGACATCACTACCAAAAAATGTCCAAACAAATACATTAGGAATCTAATGCACACTAAAACACTTCCTGCAGCACGATCCTTTTGGGCTTCTTAGTTTGAAGAAATCTAATGGGAAAGAATGTGGTTAATTGGGGACAAGTTCCTCTTAAATAATAAAATAAAGGAGGAGTCTTATAAAATTGTACATAGCATATACCCAGGAAAGAAAACTTTAGAGAGATTTAAAATTGATATTGAATATTCCTGTACCTTTTGTGGTAATTATGATGAAACAATTTGTCATCTGTTTTATGATTGTACATACAGTAAGATATTTTGGAGAGATGTTGAAAACTATATAAGACGTAAAACTGGACAAACTTTAACATTGAGGGGGAAAGATGTGTTTTTACTTTGAAGATGGTGGAACAGATAAGGATTTTTCTTTTTTTTGTCCAATTGTTATTAGTCTTAGGAAAATTCCATATTTATAAGAAGAAATGGGCAGAGTCCAAACCAAATTTTGAACACCTTTTAGCAGAGCTAAAACAATATCACACCACTGTAAGAGGTCTTAAAAATAGAAAGGCTATTAATACCGATCTTTTACTCTCTAAATATGTTTAATTTGCATCCTTTTATGTAATTTGGTCTTGTTTTTTTATTTTTATTTTATTTTTTATGGTTATTGTTTGTCTTGTATGTCTGTTTTAGTAATGTATTTTGTGTATCAACCCTGGCATAAACAGATGTTGTTGTATTATATTGTTAATACTGAATAAAAAAAACCCCCAAAAAACAAAAAACAACCTGAAGTCAACATTTATGTCCAACTTATTTTAAAGTTTATCATGCAAAAAACATTACTTTTGACATTCAGATGACAATTTGAGCTGAACTCTGGAATACAAATGGCACACAAACATTTTGAACAATGAGGTGGCAGTTTGTTCCTAATTGACAATTTTGGGTACATTTTGAAATGCTAGTATAAGCAAATCAAATTGCAGGACAAAATGCTACACTTAGAAACAAAGAAGCCAAACTATGAATTGAGTTGAACGACCTGAAGTCTGTGGAATTAGAGTCCTTAGTCTATGGGATTTTTCCACTCATTTTACTGTTAATTCTGATTGTTTGTAACCGTAATAGCACTAATCAACAAGTAGGTGTGGGATAAGTTATGTGTCAAACTTAAAGTTAGGGTTAGAGGCTTGTTCAAATGCTTGTTCACTGAGGATGAGCAATAGTAATAGAGCTGCTTGCAAGGCACTAGGTCTCTCTTAGTGTTTGTGTGCGTCTGTTTGAAAGAGACTGAGTGAACTGATTGTTAAGAGACACTCCAAAAACTCTTTCATCTGCAGTTTCCTTCTCTCAAAAAGCAGTTTATTGCTCTTTCCATCTAATGTCTTCTTATCATGCTTTCTTTTCTTTTCTCCTCTCCATTTTTCCTGCCCGGCAAAATGTCTTTAAAGTGTGAGGGCCAGTCGGGGCTCCAGGGAAGGAGAGCTATTCTCCATAGACAGCAGACCTTTGAAAGGAAATGTTTTATTTCCTTTGAAATGAGCTGCCTGCCCAACTGCCATGTTGTGATCTTTAAGCATCCTTCATAAGAAGCCATCAGAGAGGCCCCTGACTGAGCTCTCTATACCAGTCTTTAGGAAAGAAAGAGAGGGTGAGAGAGGGAAAAAAGAGACAGAGGTAAGACTATGACAGTGGACACGGCAGGGACAAACAAAATAGGAGGGATGGACTGAGATATGGAAAGGTAAAAACGATTATACATGCAGAGGATAAAGTAACAAATAAAGGTTGAAGTAAGGAAGGAGGGGGGGAGTAAAAATGAGATGCGTATGTAGAAAGAGACATTTGATACCTGGTAGGAGGAGTGACACTCAAAAAAAGCTCACAACAGCCCTCTATTTCATCACCTTTCAAACTAAGTGAATCGATATGGCTAGGTATATATACATACATGTATACATGTATATATGTATGTATACTGTACGTGTGTGTGTGTGTGTGTGTGAAAGCTCAAGCAGACCATTTTAAGAAATACATTTAAAAAAAAAAAAAAAAGGTTTTTAGGTCATACATTTTAAAACTACAGAAATGCAGTTATTTTAGGGCACCAATATCTACATAAACTAAAAATCAGCTTTATATCAACTGGAAAAAGGACTGCAATTTATTAGCAAATTAGACTAATATTCATTTTTATTATTGCAATGAAATTCTGGTATTTTTAAATGTGGCTTAAATGTACAAATACCACTATTAAAATATATATCAGGAAAAGTATCTAGTGTCCAGCAAAGTCACACATGTAGCTGCGGAAAGACTTTCGGAATTCTAGCAGCCGGAAGAACAGAGAACAAACCCTTGTTTTGTCCGGAGGTGTTTGTTGTCCATCTATGCCCGTTTAGACAGTCTTGCATCATGTGTGACCTCACTGCATGAGACAGGACAACTACAAAGGCTTCTTATTGGTGCTGTGCTCTGTGTCAAACATTCTGTTCTCTGTACATTTAATCAATCACTCCAGCAGGCCTGCTATGCTAATGCGTGAGAGGTGCGATCTGGTGTTAACTGCCTGCACTTGAGTGTGCTCCTGTCCTCTTGTCAAGTGTCTGATCTAGGGCACTTTGTGTCATCCCAAAGAGCCAAGATCTGATCAAGTCAAGTATTTGTAAGCCTGCGTAATTGCTTAGTGAGAAAAGTGTGTGTTTTTGTTCTGTTTGAGTGTAGCCTCCCGAGGACTGTCTCAGGAGTTGTTTGAGTGTGTTTGTGGTTGTAAACTCACCCGGTCGCGGGATCTCTGAATCTTCTCACGGTCGGTGTTCAGGTTGGCAAGGATCTCCTGTCCAACTTGCTCTGTAGAGGATAAGAGGAGGGACAGGGTGAAATAAAACCACAAAATATTGTTAAGGCCGTCTTAAGATGCAGGTGCATTTACTCCTGATCTTTGAATTTATTTCCGGGCCATCCGGACATTTTAATAGGAATCCACACGATCAGGAATCTTGAGTGAGAGCGAAAGATTTCTTTCTTTTTCTGTAAGAAGACTTACACATAAACTTTGATGGAAACACATTTACCGAATAAATTCCTAAATTTTGTATTAAGCACTGCAGGTGAATAGTGTAAAACGTTTGACTAATAGATATTGCCACACTTTCCCCAGTTTATTAAATCACAGTACTTTAAAACAATTGTTTTGTATTACAAGTTTTATGAAATGTTTTTTTAAATATGCAAATGATTCATTATCTAACCAGAACAGAAATCTGAACACTAGATAAAGCCAAGTTCCTTTTGGTGACATATTCGAGTAATTTGTGTTATAACTCTAATACTGTTTTTTATTTTTTTTTATAGAAATACAATGATATATAAATCAGGTGAATGTTATATAAACAAAACATTCTGTAAAACCCTTCAGAATATAGAAAGGAATAAAAGTTTGTTGTACGTAAGTGCTAATCAAGTAGAGAAGTCTTAGTGCATGAAAAAAACTTTTTTTTTTTAAATGGCCTTTAAATATATGTATTGTAATTGAAATCTACAGATGCAAAGAGATTAAGTATAATAAAATAAACATAAATTTACATTTTGGATGTTTTCTTTCTAGTCCGGGAAACACTTCAAAAAGGGCTACACACACTAACAATGAAGGGGAACCACCAATTGCAAGATAAAACCAATGCTTTAATGAAACAGTGACAAACGTTTCGGTCACATGTGATGCCATGGAAGCAAAATAGCCCAAAATAGCCATGGTTTTGCTTGTAATGTCTTGCCTTTAAAACACTTTTTGACTTTGTCTCAAGTTAAAGACTTGTGAAGGAGGGCCATATCAGGATTTCAGAAACTTTAAGTGGGTTCTTTGAAAAAAAAGCAGTCAAAAACTATAACAACCACCTAGCAACACCCATGTAAAAGTCTAGTTACAACCCTGATCTCTGATGTCTAGGGATCTCAAACTACTTCTCACCAATATGCTGTCTTAAATATTTTGCATATCCCAGCATGCCGCATCACACCGAGCACGAACAGCACATGCAATATTCAGCTGCTTGCTTACAAACACATTTCATCTGTCACGGACGTACACCCATTTATACGCTCGCACTTAGATAAACATCTCGTACATGGCGTCTGACAAGCCTGTCCATGGTCACTGTCATATTCACATCCCAAGGGTCAAAAAAGGAAAAGAAAAAACAATGAACAAAACAAAAATCCCACCCTCCCTTCCTCCTGAAAAAACCCTTTTCACTATAAGTAGAAATCACATTAGCAGTGTGGAGAGGAAGGGAGTAAAAAAAAAAAGTGAAGTGAAAAATCTTTGCATGGATCAAAGCTACGCTTTCAAATGCACCAAACAATTGTGAGTAAACAACACACTCATGACTGGATTACCCTACACAGGTGCAGCTCTCAAAGAGTCAGCTTGACGCTCGAGGAACAGAGGAACGGGCCACATCTGCGCTAGCACTAAATATCAGAGAACGAGAAAGACCGACACAAGACGTGGTTACACACGCGTCTCTTGCCTTCATTAATTTCCAATCAGACTGAGGACAGACTGAAGGATTCTCAGATTAGATAGAGCAGTCACAGCGCATGTGACAGATAGACCAGATTAAAAGAGCGAATCGACATATTAATAACCATCATAACCATGGACGGTCGTCGAGCCCGAGACACGCTGCCGCCCACCCATGAGTGGAAATCTTGTGTAAAGAAAATTAAGCACCGCTATCTGTCTCTGTCCAGTGCGAAAGGGGCCTTAAACAAATGAATGTGACACGGCCACAATGGCAACAATGCAATACACATGCGCTCAGACACGCTTGCTCATTTTTCACTTCAGATGATAGATGAGACCGCTGACATGAAGGGGTCTAGCGCAAATGAAACAATCCTGTCAGCACGCTATAATCTAAGCTCAACGAGATATAAATACACAGGAGGGGGGGAAACGAAGTTGCTATGGACAATAGGTACAATAGAAAACTTTGATTGACATATTTCTCTGACGCCTTTGTGTTGTAACTGCTTTCTTGATATCAAGATATTCAGAATCAAGGTCTCCTATACAAGGGTTGTGAGCTTCTCTATCTCCACTGATTCCAATTGCTGTTAAGACTCAGCCTAATGCAAGCAAAGTAAATGCAAATGAATACAAAAGAAATACGAGTGGGGAAATAGAGCAGGTACATAAAATAATTTCTACAAAATCAAGAAACAGATGGGTTGGCCGACTAACTACATAAAACCGTTCCATGGTGTCTTCCTGTGCCACTAAAAACACGGAATAAAAGCTGTTAAAACCAAACTCTGTATAATGTAATATTCCTGCGGCCAACACACTGTAAAACACATTATGGACTCCGGTTTCTCTTTCCCCATAAATATTTCTCTTAGTTGTGGGACCGCAAATTGATGTTGCCATTAAGAACGAGCTCCAAAAGCACACACACATACACACAAAAACACACACTGTTGGACAATTAGCTGTGTGTACACCACATCCCACGGGTGAGAGGAAATTTACCAGCCCACAATTCCACGGCTCTCTTCCTCTTTTGATATATCGGTTTGTCTCCGTTTATATGTTTCACAAATAATCTGATCTATCTGTCTCTCTTCTCTATTCGTATATTTGAGACTTAGACAAGAATGTGGTTTGAGCAGAGAGTTTGGCTGGAGAAAAACAAACACTCTGTGAGAAAGGGAAAACAACATGATTTCCCTTGCTTCCTTTTCTACGAAGAAAAAAAATAGAGCGAAAAACTTCTCTCTCGACATTGTAGACATTCTCGCTGACTTGACATCATAGAGGGGATAGTACGCCCAAAAATTAAAATTATCTCATGTTCAAAACCTGGATAATTTTCTTCTCCAAAACAGAAAAGAAAATATTTGAAGAAAATCAGGTTTTGCCCAGTCTGTGAGGTCAAAAAACAATGGTTTTCATTGTATGACATATTTTTCATTTTTGGGTGAACTAACCCTTTAACAGTGGAATTAAAAAGGTTTTAATTGTTATATACAACAACACACAAAATACTGACGCCAAGATGCATTACATTTAGATTACAGGTCATCATTATGTGCAATAAAACTATACACATGAAGCGTAGCATGAATTATGGTCATTTATTCTTTTGCAAGAATCACTTTGGATACATGTCTACTTAATGAGGTGCTAATTAATTATCACACGCTTTAATGAGGATGCTGACATTCTGTAAATTGAGGGTGTAGCTGTGAAAAACAGGCGTTCGAGAATGAGAAAAAAAACCTAAATAAATAAATAAGTAGACTCCATGCTCATAATGATATAAAATATTCTTCCCCGTTTAAGGCCCTATTAACAATTTAAATGACCCTGACGCCAAGCTTTTCCACAGGCCTGCTCTAGTTAAAGATCCAGATCCCCAAGGCCCATTTAACAAGGATATTACTAAAATCTATATCAGCACAATCATTACCAATGGGCTGGTTTTAATGCAGACTTTTTAATTGATTGCTGACCACCACTTGTGGACAAGACCTCTGCTCTAACTGCTTTATATTCGAGTAGGGCTGTGCCAATACTATCATATTTCAAATTATTATTATTCTTTCTCACAATATTAGCCTATATAAGATTTATGTGGTCATAATTAAATTTCCCACAGATCAAATGATGAAGTGAAAAATGCAATTCTATCTATGAGACAGAACTGGACAAATGCCAAGCAAAACATGCAAGAATACAGATGCAAAGGATGGTCATTACTTTATGAATGCAACACTATTTTGGACCCAAAAAGGAAGTCAAACTAGCATCTGCTTTTAATAAATGACAAATCACAAATAAGAATAATGAATTCAATGTGTCAAAATATATATTGTATGCATTACAGTACATTGACCTGAGATCAATCTGTGACATCCTTTAAATACCAAATTGGCCAAAGTTTAACAAACCTGAACTCGAATAGCATAACATTGGTACATACTGAAAGACAAAAATCTGCATGCATCTGGCACAGTTTCGATTGCGATCCAATTATAATATTGTGATGCATTGCAATATATTAGTTGTGACATGTATTGTGATGTTCATTACATTTTGAAGTATTGGGGGGGGCTGGTGCTCTATGTAGCTTTTCTTCTAAAATGAATCCTTTTTTTATTGTCTGTGTGTGAAAGGGTTGTAATCACACATTACAATGATCCACTTGTCGGGTTTTGCTATTACCTCTGAAGGCCAATATTCATATTTATATGTGAAGTCTCTGGGTCGGATTTACCACGAAATCCATCGGATGTGACGTGCATGCGCGCTCCCGAGCCTCTCTCCTTATATACAGTCTATGCGACTGACGGCACTGCAGCTAACGACATGGAGTCTGACAACACCCCCAAAACGACCTGCCTCCAGCAAACACCACATAAATATAAAAAACAAAAAAAAGTTTTATCTGCTGAAGCTCTTCAGGCCAAACGTGATTCTGATCGACTCAGGACGAAAACACGGATCAACATCGGCAGAGCTTTTGAATTATTAGTAAACTCTAATGAAATAGCAAGGTAAACTACATGAGACATGAAATTAATACTAAAGACTGTTCCTGGATAACAAAAAGTAGGTGCTTTAGGATGTAACTTATTTTATGTAGTAGATCTACTGTCTAACGTTACTCATCCCACTACTATCATATTGTTTATAATAAACATTTCCAGACACGTTCAGTACAGTAATGTTACTTCCTACTGTCCTACTGTTACACTGACATTGTTCAGTCTAGTTCACCGTTTTCGTTATCATATACATTCACCTATGTTGACATTGCTGATTGTGAAAGATACACGAATAG